CTTACAAAATACAACAGGCCCCTCTTTGGCTGCAATGTAACCAATTAAGTTCCTACACAAACTCTTAACAGTCACAATATTCTTTTGAATTCAGAATTAACTATATTTGAACAATTAATTCATGAATAAAGGAGGTAAATGTTTGCTATTGAAGATGTATCTGCTAATTATATAGAGGAAAATAAGTGTAAGAGTTTCAAAAATAGATAGGAAATGGTGACTGGTTGTCTAATTACATCACAAATGTATGAGACATTTTTACAAGTAAGTTGACTTTTGGTGATAATTTTACAATGTACACAGTCTGAGGAAACATTTATTTCAATATAACCTAAGTACATAGAGTTGTGTCAATTGCCCACAGAAAAGTCATTATGTCTTGAAGAAAAATGTTTACCTTAAAAAACAAAACAGGAATTCTGCTTTCCTTATGAAGACCTAACTAAAAATGTTTTAGTTCTTTTCCATATAAGTAATGTTTGATTTTATTTCTGCCCTTTTTTCTTATGTTACTTATGGGTGTACATTTCTTATTGCTATTTTCTAGTTATTTATTAATTGCCTAACACCGAATAGCTCTCATGTATGTTACCTGAAATACAACAACTCAATATCTATTTGCCCAGAATTCCCAACAAAATTTTAAAAAATTATTTATGTATTTATTTTCTATGCCATCCCACAGCCAAAGTGATTTGGCAGTTTACAATAATCCATAAAAAAGTCAATAAAATACAATAAAATGTCATAAAAACTGAGAAACATTAATGGTTTAAAACAGCCAAAGCCCTTGGGTATCCAAGTAAATCTTTGAGGTATTGGCTATCTTAGCTTGGTGCTGAAAAGATGATAAGTTGGGCACCAGGCGGGATGCAGTGAGAAGGTTGTTCCATAAAGGGCCACCACACAGAAAGCCAGCCCCTTGGTTGCCACCTTCTGAGCCTTCCTTGGAGTTGGTACTCAGAGGAAGGCCACAGAGGTTGCACACAGTCTCCAAGTAGATTGGCACGCCAAGGTATTGTTGTCCTAAACCATGTAAAGCTTTACAAGTTAAAACCAGCACGTTGGATTAGGCAAGGAAACACACAGGAAGCCACTGCAAGTGGACCAGAACTGGTCATACGTATTCAAACCTACAGGTCCCAGTTGCTGCATTCTGCATGAACTACAGGTTCTGAACCATTTTCAAGGACGGCCCCACAATCATCACTGTATAAACATCACCCTAACGTGTGAGTTTGGATGATCATATTTTATCTAATTAAGCCAAATAACGGAACAAGACTTTTGCCTGGGCACACAACTCCTTTGTGGTGCTAGCAAACAAATTAAAAGGACACTAACTGAAAGGGTGTGTCCTAAGAGCTGGGAATGAAGGTGTGTGGTGTGATAACTCTCAACATCTGAATGAAAAGGGAGATTCATTTTCTTTCTGACTCATAGCTGAGCAGGTAGAATGCTCAAAAGAAAAAAAATTGCCCCAGGTGAACTAGAGCTAAACAAGCAGGTAAGTTCCCAGAGAGTGAGTGACCAGAATGAGTGAATGGGAAAGTAATGAGGCATTCAGCTTCAAGAAGGAAGTTGCTGACATCTTTTTTCTTTTAACTCACACTTCTATACCAATAGGACTCTGTTGTTAACCTTTGGGGAAAGCAAGACAAAGCGCAGGGCATTCCAGTGCATTCAGTAGGGCAAAATAAAAAAGGGAGTAAAAACAAGGATGGAAAGAAAAGTCAAAAGGGAAAGAAAAATAATTTTGTGTCTTCTGCAAATTTCATAAGAGTTCCCTGCACTTTTTCACCCAAATCAATAATTAAAATGTCAGAGCATGGGAAACAAACAGAATGAACCTAAACTTCAGAAGGGTGCATATGATTTGACAGATGTAACTGAAACTTGGTAGAATGACTCCCATGACTGGAATTCAGCAACTGAAAGATATAACATGCTTAAGAAGAACAGAAAAGGAGGCAGTGCTTCACTAAAACAAATTTATCTCTGCACAGAAACCTTATCCTCATTTATATGCTGCCTGAGTAGCCATAAGCTCTCTGAATGGCTCACATATAATCAATGCCACAAAGCAAAACAATAAAATCAACAAACAATAAAACCAGCAACAACAATAAAGTCAATAAAACCAACCAAAGAACAACAATCAATCTTAATAATAAATAGGAATATGAGTTCAGTAACCTTAACAGAAGTATCTGAATTTATTTAAAAAATGAAAAGTAAATTGCTTTAGTTTCAAGGAGATATGATGCAGTAGTAAAGAAGGATTATAATTTCTGCAGTACCTGTTGGGAACAGAATTTTGCCAAATGTGGCCCCTCTAAGAGAAGGAAGGAAGGAAGGAAGGAAGGAAGGAAGGAAGGACGGAAGGAAGGAAGGAAGGAAGGACGGACGGACGGACGGATGGACAGATGGAAGACTACAAAGGAAGAGAGCATGGATTGTCAGGGATAGCATCAAGACTAAAGCCATGAAAGATGCTGAAAACAACAAAAAGCCCGCTTCAGATATGTGCACAGTAAAAGACAGAGGAAAGAGGTTATGATTCAACTACTCAATCAGGTTGGCAAAATGCTAACAAAAGATAAAGAAAAGGCAGAAGTGTACAGTTTATACTTTGACTAAATCTTACCCCAAAGCAATTTTTACTAGAAGCCAACATGGATTTGTCAAAAAGAAATCCTGCCAGACTAATCAATCTCATCTTTTGATCAGCTAACCTCACTGGTAGACTGTGGGAATAATGACAATATATCTTGGGGAGATCTAACAGGTGGGGTACCACAAGGTCATTCCTGGGTTCAGTGCTCTTCAATGTTTTCATTATTGTTTTGGGTGAAAAAGTGCAGGGAACTCTTATAAAATTTGCAGAAGACACAAAATTATGTAAGACAGGTAATACCATGGAACACACAAACAAAATTCAAAGTGATCTTCACAGGTTGGAGAGAGGGGTTAAAATTACCAAATAAAAATGTAATAGGGATCACTGCTAAGTTCTGCACCTGGGAAAAGGAAACCAAATAGATAGTTACAAGATTGAGGATACTTGGCTCAACAATATTACAAGCAAAAGGATTTGGCAATTCTTGTAAAGTACAAGCTGGGTATGAGTCAACAATGTAATAAATGCTATTTTGGGCTGCATTAGCAGAAGTATCATCTCCAAATCATGTGAAGTACAAGTTCTCCTCCACTCAGCACTGATTAGATCTCATCTTGAGTACTGTACCCAGTTCTGAGCATTCAGTACCACAGACAAACTGGAAAAGGTTCAGAGAAGAGCAACAAAGATGATAAGGGATCGGCAACAAAGCCCACTGAAGAGAGATTGAAAGAACTGGGCATGTATAGCCTTGAGAAAGGAAGACTGAGTGGAAATATGACATCATTCTTCAAGTACTTGAGAGATTATCACATAGAAGAGGGTCAGGATCTCATCTCGATCATCTCAAAGTGTAGGAATATGGAATAATGGGCTTCAGCTGCTGGAAGCCAGATTCTTGCTGAGCATCTGGAAAAGCTTCCTAACTGTTACAGCAATATGACAATGGAACCAATTACCTAGCGAGGTCACGTACAGGAAGCCCCCTACATATGAACCTTCAAGTTGCAAACTTTCAAAGATGCAAACGTGCTTTTGTGTACTTTACTGTAATAAATGAGAGAGGTGAGTCCAGCAAAGCATAACACAGGTTGCACCAACCTAATGGTAATGCCATATGAGAAAGAACCCATCAGATGAACAACACAAGTGCACTTCTGCACTGTCACATACCCAGAAATATAACTTCTGGAAGTCCTCCAGTGACATCAACAAAGTCCTTCAGTGTCATTATAAACCTATTACAGTACTGTATAGCCAATTAGTTAGTTGGGTACCTAGTTGGGTTTGTTGGACTTAAGAACACATTCTCAGAAACAAATTCATTCATATGTAGCGAACCTCCAGTACTCTTCCACACTGAAGACATTCCAGATGCAGCAGGTCAAGCCACTTGTTAGAAATGCTTTAAGTTGCTCTCCTGCATAGAGCAAGAGTTGGATCTGATGGCTTTACTGGTCTCTTTACTCCACTATTCTATGATTCTGTGAATTAAGCATTGTTTCCTTTTAAAGCCAGCTTCAAAGTATGATTTAATATCCTGGGCTTGCTTTTGGTTCTGACAAAATAGAGGACAGTATTGAGAAGTCCAGGTTCTATTGCTCACACTGAAAAAGGAAGAACAACTAAGCAGCACATAAGGTCAAAAGGCACACTTGTATCTGATTTAGCAGATATAATTGTTCAAACTGGCTCAATGTAACTTTACTGTTTTCCGTGCTGGGATGAGTACCTTAATAAATAAGTAGTTAAGTGATTAGACATGAACTATAAATGTACTGCCTGTAATTGTTCTAACCTAGAAATGATTTATATGATCTTTTGTAATGCCATCATTCTTGCACTTTCATTTTTAAATCATCATAGTTCTATGCACTAAAACTAAATTACTTTAAAAATGTGCATCTGTTCTGTATTTGGCATTCCACTGTGTATCTTATAGTGTGTCACTAGTTTGTATTAATATAGCTTCTAAATTTAATTTCTGACCTGCCTTAGTTTACACTGGTATTACAGCTTGAATAATGTATGACAGGATTAAGGTATTGATTGTTATTTCATATTGCCCTTGTCTTAATTTAGATGTGATTTATATAGAAATCAGGAGATTTTTTTACTGAGTTTACACTGACTGCCTAATCTGATTTTCAGGATATCACCAGTGTTTCCAGCAGGAATATTTCTCAACCTTACTAACTGTGATGTTTTTAACAAAAGATACCATGTTTTGTACTTTGAAATCTACTACTATGCCACAGGTTCTTTTGTAGAGTAGTGAAATGGCTACAAGATAACTGTCATTAAGAAATCTTGAAAATGCATTCCCAAGTTTTTGTTAGAAAAAGTGGTAACAATTACTGTGAGCATATTATATCTTTACCTGACCCAGTAAACGTGTCAAGAGATCCATCTCCACTTGTTGTTGCTGTTGATTCGCTGCTGTTCATAGGCTCTGTTTTGACTGCAAGAAGAGACACTATACAGAAGAATAAGCAGACATAAGATTTTACTTCTAAATTTATGCATAAACTACTATGCCAAATTCAGCAAAAGTCTGTATTTGTGGTTCAGGGAACTATGCACACACTGGAAAAACTTAGTAAGAGTCTGTGAATATTCTACTACTATACAAACACAGCTTTAAAACCATGCACTTACTCTCCTTTAAATAAATGCTAATATTTATCTATATATACTTCAGTGTAAATTCAGCATAGATGCCAGTCATGAAGGTAAATCATGAAATAATGCATGAAACAGATATACTAAATATAATTATAACCTGATGTATTCTTGCAATAAAGTGTGTATGGGGAGAATGAGAGAAACAGCCTTAAGCTATTAATTTGTTGGGTAGGATACAAATGCCTTTCTTCAACATAGAAAATTTTGTGACAGGAAAATTTAAATGTGATTTCCATTATCTAATCTTCTATTAGGTGATATCTAATTAGTTTCTGTCCACTAATGAAAGCTTTCCTCATAACTGCGAGGGAGGAAAACAAACAAACAAATAAAATACAGTTTCGGAAAACACACCTAGGTTTTCTTGGGCTTGTAATTAATTGTAACAAATAACATGCTGCTGCATCTTACTGATCCTTGTATTGATTTTCATTGCTATTGTGGCAGAAATAAAGTTTTAATGCTGTATTTTACATGTAAACTGCTTAGATATTTTATTATATTATGCAGTATTTAATCATGATGCATGGCTATATTTTTATCATGGGAACCTACTAGGGAGTGCTTTAACATTAGTTGTCTTAAAGCGTTTTAGCTTATTTTTATATTATCTGTTTTATTTTTAACTATTTTCTAGTTTTCAGACTGTGTTATGATTGTTAATTTTGTAAGCAACCTCATATATTTATTAATTTATTTATTAAAACGTATTTTATATATAGAATCAATGGAGTTATACCAGTTTCAATTCATGTTGGTGCCAGTGGTAACTACACAATCCCACTGTATATCTATGACATTTTGTAAATTTCATTTTTAACTTTTTAAAAACTTCTTCTTCAGAGACTGAATGAATACCCATGTTTCATTTTAGCACTCATTGATACTTTTAAAAAAGTGATAAATACCAGCAAAGGACTACCAAGACCATGCATATTTTCTGGGCCTCTCTCCTTTAGTTATTTATTGATTTGAAAACTATGTATTCTTCCTCTACAGCTCTGAAAGTCCAACTCTAAAATATATATTTTCAAATCATTGACTAAAGAATATACCTAATCCCAGTATAATTCTAATCCGCACTTTCTATTAGGAATACACAATGAACTACTGATGCTCATGTTAGCACAAGGGTTATGTTATGTTATTTGCAAAGTTGTGCCCGACCCATCGTGACCCCATGGGCAACATTCCTCCAGCCTTCCTATCCTCCACCATCCACTGGAGTCTACCTAAGTTCACACTGACTGCTTCAGTGACTCCATCTAGCCACCTCATTCTCTGCCATCCCCTTCTTCTTTTGCCTCCAATTGTTCCCAGCATTAGGCTCTTCTCCAGTGAGTCCTTCCTTCTCATTAGGTGGCCAAAGTATCTGAGTTTCATCTTCAGTACCTGGCTGTCTAAAGAGCAGTCAGGGTTGATCTCCTCTAAGACTGACTGGTTTGATCTCCTTGCAGTCCAAGGGACTCACAGGAGTCTTCTCCAGCACCACAATTCAAAGGCCTCGATTCTTCGGCACTCAGCCTTCCTTATGGCCCAGCTTTCACAGCCATACATTGCTATTGGGAAAACCATAACCTTGAATATACGCACTTTTGTTGGCAGAGTGATGTCTCTGCTTTTTAGTATGCTGTCTAGATTTGCCATAGCTTTCTCCCAAGGAGCAAGCATCTTTTAATGTCTTGGCTGCAGCCACCGTCTGCACTGATCCTGGAGCCCAGGAAAATAAAATCTGTCACTACCTCCATTTCTTCCCCATCTATTTGCCAGTAAGTGGTAGGACCAGATGCTATGATCTTAGTTTTCTTAATGCTGGGTTTCAAGACAACTTTGTGGTCTCCTCTTTCACTGGCATCAAAAGACTCTTTAGTTCCTCTTCACTTTCTGCCATTAGAGTGGTATCATCTGCATATCTGAGGTTGTTGATATTTCTCCTGGCAATCGTAATTCCAGCTTGTGATTCATCTAGCCCTGCCTTTCTCATGATGTATTCCGCTTATAAGTTAAATAGGCAGGGCGACAGTATACAGCCTTGCCGAACTCGGTTCTCAATTTTGAACCAATCAGTGGTTCTGTGTCCAGTTCTCACTGTTGCTTCTTGACCCGCATATAGGTTTCTCAAGGGACAAATAAGATGGTCTGGAACTCCCATCTCTTTAAGAACTTGCCACAATTTGTTGTGATCCACACAATCAAAGACTTTTAGTGTAATCAATGAAGAAGTAGATGTTTTTCCTGGAACTCTCTAGCTTTCTCCATGATCCAGTGTATGTTGGCAATTTGATCTCTAGTTCCTCTGCCTCTTTGAAATCCTGTCTGTACTTCTGGTAGTTCTCGGTCCACATACTGCTGGAGCCTAGCTTGTAGGATTTTGAGCATAACTTTGCTAGCATGTGAAATGAGTGCAATGGTGCAGTAGTTTGAACATTCCTTGGCATTGCCCTTATTTGGAATTGGAATGTAAACTGACTTTTTCCAATCCTGTGGCCACTGCTGAGTTTTCCAAATTTGCTGGCATATTGAATGTAGCATTTTTACTGCATTGTCTTTTAAGATTTTGAATAGCTCAGCTGGAATACTGTCACCTCCACTAGCTTTGTTGTTGCTAAGACTTCCTAAGGCCCGTTTGACTTCATATTCCAGTATGTCTGGCTCGAGGTCAGCAACCACCCTATCATGGTTATCAGGAACATTAAGGTCTTTCTTGTATAGTTCTTCTGTGCAATCTTGCCATCACTTCTTAATCTCCTCTGCCTCTGTTATGTCCCTGCCATTTTGGTCCTTTATCATGCCCATCTTTACATGAAACATTCCATTCATATCTCCAATTTTCTTGAAGAGAACTCTAGTCTTCCCTATTCTATTGTTTTCTTCTATTTCTTTATACTGTTCATTTAAGAAGGCATTCTTATCTCTTCTAGCTATTCTCTGGAATTTTGCATTCAATTAGGGTTAGTATCTCAATTAGTATCTTTCCCTTTCTCCCTTGCCTTTTGCTTCCCTTCTTTTCTCAGTTATTTCCTCAGACAGCCATTTTGCTTTCTTGCATTTCTTTTTCTTTGGAATGGTTTTAGATGCTACCTCTTGTATGATGTTGCACTCCTCCATATATAGTTCTTCAGGCACTCTGTCTATCAGATCTAATTCCTTAAATCTATTTGTCACCTCTACTGTATATTCATCAGGAATATGATTTAGGTCATACCTGAGTGCCCTGATGCTTTTCCCTACTTTCTTCAATTTAAGCCTAAATTTTGCAACAAGAAGCTTATGATCTGAGCCACAGTCAACTCCTGATCTTGTTTTTATTGACTGTATAGAGCTGCTCCATCTTTGGCTGCAGAGCACATAGTCAATCTGATTTCTGTGTTGACCATCTGATGATATCCATGTATAGAGATGTCTCTTGGGTTGTTGGAAAAGAGTGTTTGCTATAGCTAGCTTGTTCTCTTGACAAAATTCTGCCAGTCTTTGCCCTGCTTCATTTTGTATTCCAAGGCCAAACTTGCCTGTTATTCTGGTTATCTTTTGGCTTCCTACTTTAGCATTCTAATATTCCATGATGACAAGGACATCATTTTTGGTGTTATTTCAACAAGGTGCTGTAGGCCTTCATGGAACCAGTCAACTTCAGCCTCTTCAGCACCAGTGGTTGGGGCTTAGACTTGGACTATTGTGATGTTGAATGGTTTGCCTTGGATTCGAACTGAAATCATTCTGTCATTTTGGAGACTGTATCCCAGTACTGCTTTTCCTACTCTTTTATTGACTATGAAGGCTATTTCATTTCTTCTGAGGATTTTTGCCCATGGTAGTAAACATGATGGTCATCTGAATTAAATTCACCCATTCCTGTCCTTTTTAGTACACTGATTCCCAAGATGTTGATGTTCAGTCTTGTCATCTCATGTTTGACCACATCCAGCTTACCTTGATTCATAAATCTTACATTCCAGGTTCTTATGCTATATTGTTCTTTACAGCATCGTACTTTCCTTTCACCACCAGATACATCGGCAACTGTCTTTTCGGCTTTGACCCAGTCACTTCATTCTTTCTGGAGCTACTAGTACTAGTCCTCTACTCTTCCCCAGTAGCACATTGGACAACTTCCGACCTGAGGGGCTCATCTTCCAGTGTCGTATCTCTTTGCCTGTTGATACTGCCCATGGGGTTTTCATGGCAAAGATACTGGAATGGGTTGTCATTTCCTTCTCCAGTGGATCACCTTTTGTCAGAGGTCTCTGCTATGACCTGTCTGTCTTGGGTGCCCCTGCATGGCATAGCTCATAGCTTCATTGTCCTACACAAGCACCTTCACCATGGCAAGGCAGTGATCCATGAAGGGGAGCACAAGGGTAGTCCCAAGAAAAACATATAGGGTTTGATCTACTTCTACTTTATTTAGTATAACACAATCAATGGGACTCAAATTAGTCATGATGCTTTTAAATCCTACTGAATTGTACAGTTCTATTCAATCCTATGTCTTATTTATTTCAGTAAATAAGTAAGACTAATGTTGAATGCAACCTATTAATGTCAGTGGACATACTCTAAGTATGACTTAATCCTACTTACAGTATCTCAAAAAACTCACAATTGTTTTATATGTTTTAATTTTATTTTCAGGCTGTAAAATAAAACAAAATATAGTTATGTGACTGAAGTTAAGATCTTCATTAAAACTAAATGTGACCATGAAAAAGATGGACATTAGTTCTAATTTGAAAAACTGACCCACAGCCTGCAGAAGCACAAATTGCTTCTTTCAATTGCCCAGTTCTTCACACTGCAAGAAGAATGTCAATGTATCTAAAAAAGGGAATCAAACAGATGAAGCCAGGTATTATGTTTTGCAACTTAAAGACCAAGTCAGGGGGATTTCAATTTAAAAACCATGCCATGCAAAGAGAAGCAGGCTAGTGCAGTGGATGAGGATGGATGTGGATAAGGGTGGATATGAAACACTAGGTTCAAATGCTAGTCAATGAAGATCAGAGGATGATGTTAGGCAACTTTCTGTCTTCCAAGATTATAATCCTAGACCCACTAACATATGGGCATGTACTCATGTATTTCTTAGAACTGGACTTTCAGCCAAATCTGTCTCAAAATAGGGTCAAATGAGATAAGTCTAGGTTTTAACATGCCACAAACCACACAGACAGAGTGGGAAAGGCTAGAGTAAATATGTATACAGTTTATTTTTGAATTGGACTGGTCTTCACATGATCTATGCATTTTACAAGGCTTGTACACATATGCTGAAATGGAATAATTTTACAATACTAAACTTGAAGAAAAACTCTAAATACATTATTAGGAGTGGATTACACGTTACAGATATTATAGATACACCTCTGATGATTCTCTTGCTTGTTACCATAACAATTAAAACTTTTGTCGCATACAGTAAAAATCATACTTCAGAAGAGTTTGTTTGGACTTGTTATAATACAAAAAGTACAACTCTTTGTACTTGTTTATCAGTCCCTTTTGTCTGTTGTCCTTCTTTGGCATGGCTGCAAGAAGGAAATCAGATTCCTCCTCCATTTTTAATTCCATTTTTAATTACTCTCTGATCATCATTATACTCAAAGCTGGACAAACTATTTATAACTATGTTTTACGGAAACAAGACAACTTTGAATCATGGTTTATATTTATGTCATGTGTCCCTAAAACAAAATTAAGATGTATCCATTTCAATTTCAGATGTACTGAACATGAACAGTTAATCGGAAATAGAAGTAAAAACTTCCAATCTTATTTTTATGAATGCATCAGAGGATAGGGGAGTGGAGCACACACAAACACAAACATGTAATGCTAAACCATACTTAGCAGTACATCTAAACCAGGTTAATATGAGAAATGAGTAACCAATTGTTCAATAGTCTGCTTATGAAATGTAATATTCTATATCTTCAATCAGCTGAAAATGTGGTTAAATAAAATTAGATTCCCAATTACACTTGTCAGAAAATGTGTTTGAAAAAGGGTGGATGAAATGAAACTTTACTGTGATTACAGGTTTTACAGAATAACTTCTTGATGTTTCTTCATCGTAACTATACCCAATATACAAGATTCTTTCTAACTAGTACTAGAATTTTGTTGAGGCTTGCATATATATGCTATTTTCTTTAGGGCCATTTTCTGCTACGGCCACCATAGCAGCAAGTATGCCCCTTACTGCTACAGTGGTCCTATTCCCGAACTGGCATTAATAGCGTAATAAGGTATACAAAAACATGATGAGGAAAGACATCTTATAATATTGGTTTTGAAGAAAATTCCTGTGTGTGTCTTAAAACTTTTACTTTAAATTTGAAAAAAGGGACTATATCATGTCAGAACAAAAATGGAGGCCTTCCTGTTCAAAAGCAGAAGAAACAATAAATCAGTCTCCCACTGTTCTACCTCAGCAATCCTGACCAAAGTGGGTGACTAGCAGAAAATTGCCACCAAAACAGAGCTCCAAATGACAATGATCCAATATTGTAAGGAACATAATATTCCAATGTAGGCCTCCCTGTTTATAGAGAAGAAACACAATTAGAAGAGAACAGGCAAACCATCAGGTTTACACATTATGTGAATTCTCCAACAGAACGTAACTTTTTATCAATATAGACAAAAGAGTGCTAGGAGGTTTATTACATGTTTGTGGAACATTACTAATTTATGGTAGTGCAAAGTTAGCAATATAGCCAGGAACTATAAGCAATATATTTCTTCTGCTAGTGGAGAAACACTGATCTTACCTCTGTTGGCAAGATATCTGAAGTGAGCTATAGTTACATAGTTTAATAATTAGAAAAAAAGTTTTATGTACTAATTTTATACTTGGCTAAGCATACATGACAATTCCACTATGTTTAGTAAATTACCACATATACCAGAAACTGAAAGATCTGCCTTTTTTCTATGTGCTCAACACATGTGGGTTTCTCTTTGTTGTTATATATATAATATAGAAAATATTACAACCACTGTGTTACGATAAAATGTTAAAACTACCCTGTTTTTATTATAGAAAAAATTCTAAGAAATAGAATGTTGTGCAATGACAAATTGAGATGAACAAAGCAAAACTCCAATATGCAACACAACAGTCAAGAAGCTATCCACACACATGCATTGTACCAGGATTGCTCATACTTGTGGCAGAAGAGGGGGTGCTACAACTCAGCAACCAGTCTGCAGTGTTTAAAACAGTCATGTTGTCTCCTGAGAATTGGAATAGTATACAATGGTTCATTGACTGAATATCTGCTTAGTATACAGGAATATTTTTCAATAAGAAAAAAGAAAGAAAAACAATTCACCAGACTGTTTTAAGGAGTACTGGGATAAATTAACACACCATTTTGGTTTATGTGATGGTTGCCATCAAACAGACAAATCTACACAGGTTAACCCTCCCCCTTTCATTAACATGTCTCTAGATAAAGTACCAGAAATAAAGAGATATTTGTGGCCTATTGCATATGGAGTGGCAAGCACCATACAATGTAAATCCCCTCCTTAATCCAGCTGATATCTCTACTCAGTGCTCTATATTAATGAAAACCACAATTTTTTATCACTTCAGTTACTCCTAAATAATTAGTACATAAAGTAGTTCATACCATACAGACAGAAACTGTGATATCTGTAGCATCTATTTTGATTGTTTAAAAAATTACAGAACTTGAAACAGGCAAGCTAACATTGAATTATAGGATAAATATAGTATTAATGCATGGAATTAAAATATTATCTAAGAACTGTGAATATTTAACCATTTATTTAATTATTGTTAACCTGTTAGATTATCTGTTTTTGATTTTTGTAAGCCGCCCTGAAATGTTTTTGCATATAGGGAGGGGTATAAATATTTTAAATAAATACATAAAACAATGAATGACAATAACAAAGCAGGGATATTTTCAGTCCCAGAAACAAGTATGCCTGGACATTTTAAAAATGTGCTCCAATTATGTTTTGCACACTGAAAACTCCTACATACTGGTTCTTCTCATTGATAATCATACACACATGAAAAGGGAGATCCACAGATCAGTAGTAGAGCACACAATTTACCACTGAGAAAGACCACACACCTTAAGAGTGACCACTGTCATATGAATATAGGGCACCAGGCAAGAGGGATCTAAGGGTTGTCTCAACAAAAGGTGACTACCTATGTTCATAAAATACGCCTTCAGGAATCTGATACAACAGGAGACTCACTTGTGTCACAGATGCTAAGGCTCTGCACCTTATACATTTTATCTTCAGTTTCATCTTCCCTTTAATAAAGGTAAATGGAAATAAATCCACAAACTAAACTGCTAAAAGTATTGTTAAGGTATCTAGCTAAGCTGTACTTTGATAAGCTCTGTTTTACCATCTGTGCTAAAATACTAGAGGCTGAAACAAGTACATAGACTTGCAACCTAGCACAAATATGATCCAAGCCAATTAAAATCAAATCAAATCAAATCAAGAACTGTGATGTTAAGTCAAACCTACATGTTTTTCATATGAAGTATATGCTGGTCAGAAAAGTCTCTACCTCTAATTGACAGGAATAAGGCATAATACCATAAAACTGGCCAAAAACCAGTTGGAAATAGCAGAAAAATCTGCGGTATGTATCATAGAAACTGAAGAGATAAGGCACCACAAATAGGCTGTTCCAACAAGTTGTCTCCTAAGAAAAGAGTAACATGTGAATCAGCCTGCAATCCATAATGTTAAAACTGCAAAAAATGCTGTGGCACCTTAAAAAATTCACTAGCTGACAATAGCATACAAAATAGAATCCTGGAATACAGACCCTGATTAAACATCTTAATTCTGCACACATGAAGAAAAGTAGTTTCCTTGCATAATTACAAGAACCCTTAGAGATTCAATCTATTTGCTAATTAACCCAAATATTTCAGACTTTCACCACAATTGGCCTTTACTGGACAATATAGGTAAACAGAATAGGCTCAGCAACATGTAAATCTGTCACCTGAATTGGACATTTGGATAATAAGATTAAGGATGAGCTGATGGCAACAGACTTGCAAGTTTAAAGTATAATCCAAAGTGTAATCCTTTAAAATCAAGGAATGATAGGGCTACTGTCCAGACAAAATGATGGCAGTTCCAGCTACTAACACAGACATAACAGAGATGGAAAAGAAGCTGGTAAGTGTCCTGTAGGAGCAATATATAGATACACACAAGAAATAGGGTATTTATATAGTTTACAGAATGTAATTAATTTAGAAAATACCCTTTCATGGGCCTCACTATCTTATCATTTTACTTTATTCTCCATTTATATATATCTACTTCCTTTCACTTTCCTAATGAATATGATCTCAATCATAAACTAGTTAGTCTCTAAAGATGCCAGAACACTTATTTTTTTTAGAACTGAAAGAAGTAGGTCTTCACTCACCGCCTGTTCCATTTGTTGTAACAGATGTGCTGCTAAGATTAGATTTGTCCAGTTTAGAACTACCTGGTGTTTCTCCGCTTCCCACAAGATTATGAGGGCTTGCTAGATCCTGCATTTCCATAGATCTATTAGAGAAAAAAGTAATACTATTACTATAGTATTTGCATTGTGGAAATGTGCAGAGACCCCTTTGAGTCACACACATATAATTAAAATAAACACTGATCCTGAGAACTATATATAGGAAAAACAACAAACTGTACTTTAAAATTAGTCACATATCCTTCTATATCCTTTTTGGTAGCCTTAGAGGAAAAAGAAGAAGATGAACAGGAGCATTAAATTGAAATCATGCCCTTGCTCAACAGTAGCCTGAGTGGCCAGTCTGAAAGGTGAGTCCCCTCATCCCTGAGGGACTTCAGAAGGTGTGCCAAGTCATACTTGTGGATTATGAACTCTAACTGCTAACAAATGTAAGCTAAAGTTTGTACCTTCAAATCCCTTTCAAAGCTTCAAGGAATGCTGAAGTGCAGTTGTTGAATCACACCACTTTGAAAAATGTATACACTTGCTGGCTATGATTTTGCCTGGCACTAAAATCAGTGCTAAATTCTGTATACTGAACAGCACCATCAAGAGCAAAAAGAAGAGATACAGACAGGTGTTCATGCATGAGAAGAAGATAGTGACTTTTTCCCGTTGTAATTCCTCAGACAGATCTAGCCACTGTCATTCACACACCTTCTTTTAGATTACTGTTCTCTTTGAAGACAACCAAGAAATTGCAGTTAGCACAGACCTTTGCTGCTTCCTTCTTCATTGTGGATAGAATGTTAAATCTTAATCCGATCTCTCTCAGCTTAACTGTTCAGGCCTGGTTAAAGTGTTTAGAATCCTATAGTAGAGATGGAAGGAGCCAGAAGCCCATTGGCTCCAGCTCCCCTTTAAAGCCCTAAAAGCCTCATGTGTGGTGTACCTGTAGGAGCACCAACTCCCTTAATTTTCCCAGATAAAACTAATACATGCAATCACTCCAAAAGAGGGTATCCTTGGCAACTTCCCAATTTTGTATTAGCATACTTTATCCAAAAAAATAATAAAAAATAAAATAATACAATAAAATAAAAGAGGAAGAGCATTTAAGAGGGAAAGGGGTGCTTAAGAAAATGCTGAAGTGGCAACAGCTGTTCTTCGCTTTCTTCTGAGAAAATAGCCACTTGTGGCATCATTGCATTTTGGGAAAAATAGCAGAAGGTTTTTAAAAGGAAGGAAGCAAGGAAAATTCCTGCTACTTTCATCTTCAGAGCACATGCCATCTTCTGTCTTCAAAACAAGCTGAAACAAAAAGGAAATAAGAATTTCCTTTTCTTAGAAATTTTCAGAATGTGTGCCTCAACCTCTGAGTAAGGTGGTAAGCCCTGGTTGTCTGTGATGATGTCCAAACCCAGTCATGGTGAACAATCATTGTGCCTTAACATGGCTGTAACCATGATAAGACACAAACGTCTTTTCTAGGGTTTCTTCTAGCCACAACTGCTTCTGATATCATCCTCATCTGGACAACAGCTCCAGTACAGGAGAGCTGCTTGGCAAAAGCAGCTGATCAGAGAGCAGAAATGACAGCTGCCCCAGTCTGGGGCAGCTGTCAGAGGTGTCGTCCTCTCTCCTGCCCAAAGGTCTTTCTTTGAGATCTGAGAGTACATTAGAGAAACAGAAATATATACCTCTAGTTTTCTAGGCATTCTTTAAGTATTTTACTACGGATTGTCATTGTGACTATTTTAATATATGTACAGTGCATTGGGTTAAATTCAACATTGTGCAAGGGAACTTCTGCTTATGCAGAGAGACTTTCCCTTACACTCTTATTTCCATGCAACTTCCTTGTGCTCCCCAAATCTCTACTCAAGAATAGTATGGAAGGTGCAAGGCACAACAGAGGGAGGGAAAAATTGCTTTGAATGTGGTTTCTATTGGCTGGCATTGGGTACAACCCATTGACTTACGAAGTGGATTCAAATTGCACACTGAATCAAAGAAAGCAATTTCACCCATGTGGTATCCTAAGGGCAATTCTGACTAGCAGGTATGATTCCTTTGGCATGATATTTGCATTCTTTTTTAAATGTAGCTGTTTGGAACAGTTCAGTGGAACTGCTAGGCAATTCATATACAGTGGTACCTTGGCTCACGAACTTAAATCTATTCCAGGACTCTGGTCGTGACCCAAATTGGTCGTGAGCCAATTTAAATTTCTCCATAAGGCTCAATGTAAATAAAGTTAAGCCGTTTTGTAACTATTTTTTTTTATCAAAAAAATGTGAAGCAAAGTGACAAAGAACAACAAAGATCGCGGTCATCTCCTCGCTCCCCTCCCCCCAGAACGACTGCAATCTAGTCCATCATCCCTGCACGCTCCCATCATCCCGGCGCACTGGAGGGGGAGAGATGAGAGCCAACATGGGCACACTGGGGGGGGGGGACACAGGTGGGAATGTGGGCACACTGGGGGGGAGAGATGGGCGCAATCGCGCTGGGGTGGGGCGGCGATGGCCGAGGTCATAGTTGTGCTCCTGCAGGATAGACAGGCGCAATCTCGGCCATCCCCCCCCCCAGCATGATCTCCCCACACGGGGGCGGGGGGATGGCTGTGATTGCAGTCGCCACCCAATGCAGAGTTCATGACCTGAGTCAAAATTTTTATGAAATTTTT